GGTTACAGGGGTGGGTGGACAAGAGTAGGATGGGATTCAACACTGACAAGTGCAAGGTGCTGCACCTGGGGAGAAAGAACCAGCAGCATACCTACAGGCTGGGGAACTCCCTTCTCGTCAGTGCAGAGGCAGAAAAGGATCTTGGAGTCCATCATTGATGCCAAGATGAAAATGGGGAGGCAGTCAGGAAGGCCAGCTGCACCTTGTCATGCATCCACAGATGCATCTCAAGCAGGTCCAGGGAGGTGATACTTCCCCCCCTATGCAGCACTGGTCAGGCCGCAGCTGGAGTACTGTGTCCAGTTCTGGGCACTGCACTTCAGGAGGGATGTGGACAACATAGAGAGGGTCCAGGGGAGGGCCACTCTCATGATCAGGGGGCAGCAGGGCAGGCCCTACGAGGAGAGGCTACGGGACCTGAACATGTTCAGCCTCCACAAGAGAAGGCTGAGAGGGGATCTAGTGGCCTGTTACAAACTAGTCAGAAGGGACCAACAGGCATTGGGGGGAGTCCCTGTTTCCCTGAGCACTACCAGGAGTGACTAGAAATAACGGTCACCAGCTGGCAGTGGGCAAATTCAGATTAGATATCAGGAGGCACTACTTCACTGTCAGGGGAGCTAGGATCTGTAACCAACTTCCAAGCAAAGTGGTGCTGGCTCCTACCCTGGGGGTCTTTAAGACAACACTAGACAGTCACCTTGCTGGGGTCGTTTGACCCCAGTACTCTTTCTTGCCCATGGCAGGGGGTCAGACTTGATGATCTGCACAGGTCCCTTCCAACCCTACCAACCATGAAACTATAAATGCCCTTTGAGCTTGAACAGATTTGGGTTAATGCTCTTTCTGTTCCCTCTGAAACTTATTGGATATTTTCCATATATTGCAACATGTTCCAAAAGGCAATTTCTCATTCAGGATCAGTTTAACAATACTCAGGATTCTGGTTCTCTCTTTAACCACAGGGGCAGTGAAGTGCAAGGAGCAGCACTGCTGACTTACTTATACTGCTTTTAGAGGGGCCATCTTGAGAGCGCAGAGAGGGTTTGCTGTTTGCAATCTGGGATTGCTCTGCTGAGATAGTGAAGAGAGTCTCCATTTGGTTGCATGTTTGTTTTTTGGGAGGTGGTGTGGACATCTCAGTATTAAGCTAATTGATTCACTATGCAGGCTACAAAAAGAGCCTGTCCATCTCTCCTCCTTTCTCTGTAGATTTACAGATGTGTTCATTATTTTGCCATGACTTTTAAACACTAAATTAAAGCCTAACTTCTGCCTGCCTTGGTGTCTCAAAGAATAGGTATTGAAGCCACTTAGGCTTTTATCCATGGGCTTGTGACCTGTGACTGACAGAAACAGCAGTAGAATTTGAGTGATTCTATAAAGTGTGTGCAGCTGATTGGATTGATATATATATTTTTAAATTTAAGATTAAGGAGATGCTTAATGGGTCCTTTCCAAAGTTATGTTCCCCCTCCTTAATCTCTATTTTTCCAAGCTAAACAAACCTCACGCTCTCTCAATCCTTCATGTGGCTTGCCATCCAACCTCTTTGTCACTTTTATCACCCACCTTTGGACTCTCTCCAATTCCTCTGCATTCTTCTTAAAATATAGAACCCAGAACTTCATACGGTACTTTATGTAAAGCCTAACCTGCACTGAATAGAGTGGTATTGTCACCGCCTGTGTCTTGCATCAAATATTCTTGTTGATGCAGCTCAAAATTGCTTTTTTTTTGTTTTTTGTTTTTTTTGACTTGTACTGATTCTGTGATCCACCACAACCCCAGATACTTCTCAGTAATGCTGGTACCCAGCCGATTATCTCCCATTATATATTTGTACTTTTGCTTATTTTCCCAAGGTGTAGAACCTTATATTTGTCTGCACTGAATTTCCTTCTGTTGTCTCCAGGCCAGCTGTCCAATCTTTCAAGATCCTTCTTTCAAGATAGAATTCAAAATTCTACTCCTATCCTCTAATGTTAATGTGTTTTACAGTCCTTCCCAGTTTCATGTCACCTGCAAACTTGACCAGGAAGCTCTCCATTTGAGCATCCAAATCATTAATAAACATGCCAAACATCATTGGACCTATGACATACCCCTGCTGAACCTCGCCTACCTTTCTGACATTGATCCATTTTATAATTGCCCTTTCAGCCAATTGTATATCCACTTTTATAGTAATTTTAGCTACCCCACATTTCTCTGGAAATGTTATGTGGAACTCAGTAAATTCAAGTATATTATGTCCATTGAATTCTTTTAATCTTTCTAACTAGTAACTGTTTTAAAGAAGATCAAGTTAGTCTGGGATGGCCTTTCCCAAACTTGCAAATATTCCTGTATGACTGGTATTCTTATTTGTACATTCTCATTCCTAATTCCATGGGTACAAAATGTAGGGAAGTTCTTGAAGGTGATTGTTCTTCTGAAAGTGGGTGGATAGTTAGCCTTCTCAGGAGCTCACAGTGCTCCAATACTTCAGGTTTGGGAATTTGGTGGACATCATACTTATCTGTGAAGTCATAATTACCTCCGGGAGTTTAATGGTATTGGGTTGTGCTATTTTTTCCATGTATCCAAATAACTTCAGGTTTCCTTTTGCAGCACAGTGTGTCACTGTGGGTTTTTTTCCCCCTTTCCTGAAGGGTTCTTGGTCACTTTGAAAAGCCTCTCTTCCTGGAACTGTGCAAGCACATGTTTTTTCTGCAGTTGCATGAAGGAGAATACATCTTCCGTCCAGGGCAGTTGGATAACAGCATCTACGTTGTACAGGATGGCAAGCTGGAAGTTTGCATTCAAGAAAGTGTAAGAATAAACCTGGCTGCTGATTCTTGCAATAAATCTTTTCCTGGCACAGCATATAGCTTTTTCTCAAATTCTCAATTGTGTAATGATTTGGAGCAGGCTATTTTTATTCCCTGTAGGGCCAAAGTGTTGATTCGGGGCCTTGATTTGGACCAAGGTCTCCCACCTCTTAGATGACTGCCCTAGTCAGGTTGACTGTAAGGTATTTTGACAGCCTGTCTCTCGCTGTGATGGAGAGAGTTTTAGCCTCCATCATTAGCTTGGTGATTAGCATGGATCCTGGTTTTCCCCGATTTAAAAATTTGCAAATTCTCTGATAACCCCAAAATCTGTGATTTAAAATTACTCATGCCCCTCGCTCACCCCACAACACACTCCCAGCCCAACTGGTGACCCTCGCTCTCCCTCCCCCAGTCCTGCTTGTGCCCCTTGCCCCCCACCCACAGCCCCTGCCCCCCAGCTGCCAGGGCTATGGGGCCAGGGACTCAGGTCTACAACCCCCTGTCTCTAACAGAAGGCAGTGGCTACTGCAGCAGAAGGAGCACGGAACCGGCTCCCCTGCTGCTGCTGCTTGCTGTGGAGCAGGACAAGGGTAGGGCCAGCTCCTGGAGGCAGGCGGGACCTGGCGCCCCCCAGATCTGTGCAGGGGGCGAGGGCAGGGCGGGTGTGCACTGTGTGTGGCTTCCCTGAAGGCCCGATAGTACATTGCTCCGGGTCCTGTGCTGCCAGCTGGGCGGGCACTGCTGTGGGAAGCTTGCTGGGGGCCGAGGGAGCAGGGAGATATTGGGGAAAGACCCACGTGGAGTGCCCGCCCAGCTGGCAGCATGTGGACCCAGGGTGGTGTGGTATTGGCCCTTCAGGAAAGCTGCACATGGAGGCACAGAGCCTGCTTGGGCCGATAGCACCCCGCTTGCAGTTCATGTGCTGCCGGCCAGGCGGGTACTACATATCTTTCTCTAACACCTCCCCGCTTCCTCAGCCCCCAGCCAGCTTTCCCCCCAGCCTTGATCTGCAACCCCCCATCCCCTTGCAAGCTCCACTTGCCTCACAGGCTTCAGGAGGGAAAGTGAGCCTGAGCTAAGCCTTGGGTGATTTGAGAGCCTCAGGCCCCACCCTTCCCCCTCTCCCTATCCCTGCAGTCAGGGCTGGGGATTTCCTGCCCTTTTTACAGTCAGCTCTTGCAGGCTGGAACTCTGCCTGCCTGCAGAGCTCTTTGCAGAAGTGGGAAATCTGCGGGTTTCTCTGCTAAAAGGGAAAATCCATTTTTTCTCTGATAAAATAGGGAAAGCCATGGCTTTCTGTGTTTTTTTTCCATGGGAAATGGAAAACCCGGATCCCTGGTGATTAAGATGCTCCAGTGACTATTTGTTTATGCCAAGTGGAGCACCATAACTAGGAGAGATTGAGAACACTGTAGTGCAGAGCACCTGGTAGCTTGGTAGTTAGAAGCAGACTCCTTGCCCAAGAGAGAAGTGGGTGCATATCTCCTCAAGAAGAGGACTGAATTGAACCTTGGTCTCCCACAACGTGCGTACATGCCTTAAATGCCAGGCTGTTGATAACCACCACCTCCTTTTCTTACAGTTTTGCAAACCTAGTTCCCAACTCTTTTTCCTGTTGAAACTGGTGAATTTGGCTTGAATTCATGAACAGTTTGGCATAACTTGAATCCAGGTTTTCCAGCATATTTCATTTTTGCCAAAAAAATTGCCTACCTCAGCTGAAAGTAAAGAAAGTAAATAGTTCTTTACGTTACAATGACAAACAATATCTACAGCCTCTCAAAGAAGACAGCAGAGTTTGGATCAAGGTGTAGAGAATAAGATGAGGAGGCCTGCTAAAGGAGAGTTTGTCATTTGCATGTCACCTCATGTCAAACAGAAATGAACAAAAGTAAAATACCGCTTCATCAATTCAGTCGGTTGCCTGAAGGTGGTGGTCAAACTTACACAGTGGAACACGGCACTTTCAGGGGCATGAGGAAAGTAACCTTTGGGGTTAGTTTTGCTAGATGAAAGCATCTGCCAGGCAGTATTTAGATTATCTTGTCAAATTAGGATGTAAGAGTTGAAAAATTCTATTTGTGAAATGAAGTGCCTGCCTGAAATGGCCCATTTAAACCTGATGATGGAGTTATGAGCCTTAACTTGTCTATTTCTGTTCCTCCTGTAGGATGGCACCGAAGTGGTTGTTAAGGAAGTGCTGGCAGGAGATAGTGTCCACAGCCTCCTCAGCATTCTTGATGTTATCACAGTAAGTTCCTGTGTGGGGGTAGTACCATTGGACCTGTCAGAGCTAAACAGGCTTGGTATTTTAACATTACATTTTTCATTTTGGTTGTTTTCTCTTGTCTTTTGGCTGGGACTGTTCCTGGTCATTAGTAAAAAACATGCCACAAATAAAAAGATATTTCTGGGTGCATTTGAGTCAAGTGTTTAACATTGATACTTTCCTCATGTTTCTGATGGGTGGCCTTTGAATTCCCTCCACGTTTTTTTCTATTCACTCTAAACATATTAGATTTCCTTTTTTCTCTTAAGCTATTTAAGTATATTTTCAACAGTGTACCTGCTGAAATGTTAACAGTAGAAAGATCCCTTCCCCTGTTGCAGTGAGCATTGTTCCATAGCATATAAAGTAGTTGGGGGAAATATATTTCCTTGCACTAAATTGTTCAGATTTTGCTTAACTGAATCCTTTACTGGTAACTTGTTGGAAGTTGAATAATTATTTTGCATATATATAGGGCAAATAGCAGCTGCCTTTATCTTCACTGAGAAAGCATGGTTCATGGAGAGCAACAGGTCCCAATTTACATGACTTCCTCAATAGTTGAGCTATTTTCTGTGCAGAGCAGTCAGAAACATTGTGCCCTTAGATCTCTAATGCCACTGGTGTCAATACTCCTAAGGGCTGAAGAAGGTGGGTTCCTGCCTCTTTGTAGAAATGTGTGGGTTGTATATAGTCTGTAGGCTGCACTTTGGCCACCTTATCCTGAAAACCATCTCTTGTACTAATGGCAATAGGACATCATGCCAGCCCAGAGGTTGTATTTCATTTTACCCCAAATACTTCACCCTGTTTTCCATAAAAGTATTTTGCTGTCTTGATACTGTAGTAGTGGAGCTGTTATCTTCACTTTCCAACGTGTGCCTGGTCAGAGTCTTCTTCAGTCATTTCATAAAATTACCCACTGTTACATTACCTTTTCTGTAATTCACACAGACCTCCCATTGTTTTCCATTCTCACAGTGCCCTTCAGTGTACTAGGCTGTTCCCACTCCTCCAGCCCCACTCTGAGAGTTGCTTCACACTAGTCACCTTCAGTTTTTAGATCTAGTCTCAAACCATGATGGCAGTGGTACCTTAACAACATCTATTATGCTTAATTTAGCAGTTGTATATTAAAATTAGGTTTCTGACAGAACAGAGCATGTTAATTTAAAAGTGTATAGGGTAAAATGCCTAGTGAGAATAACTTTGGGTTTGCAGCTGTGCCTTGGTGATTTGCTTTTTTGTGGAAAATTTCTGCCACAGTTATATCACTTTTCTTCTGCCATTCCTTCAATGTCATTTTGTCTCTTCTCCCTCTTGTGCAGTCAGCAGTAATTTTGCATAATATCTATATGACATTAACTAGTCTTCACCAGACTTCCTGTTTCGCAGGACATTTGAACTCTCATGTGGGTGATGAAACTGAGGCAGGGAGCAGTTTGCTCAAGGTCAAAAAGGAAACTCACAGCACAGCCAGAGTTAGGATCCAAGCATTCTTGGCTTTGCATCACGTGGCTTTTCTTATTACTTAGTGAATTATTTTTATCTTCTGTAATTAAAAATAAATTTGCAGTTGATAACATAGCAATTATACTGTGGAACTAACTAATGACTTTCATCCTTCCTAATGCTGCTAATGCTGCCAGTGACCATTTAAAGGTTGTGCTCCTTAACTTGTTTTAGTTACATGCCAACACACTGGCTGGTCAGATGCATTTTGTTTCAATTAACATAATCTAAGCGGCTAATTAAATTCCAGCAATGGATTTGTGGAATACTGTGTATATTGCTACTGTGCTTTTTAAGGATTTAATCAGTGCAAGTTGATGAATTTGTCACCTCTGATCATGTAAGTATATTTGAGGGCTTTTCAGAGGATATTGATGAGGTGGATGTAAAGCCTTAGTGACAAGTCCTGTGTTATCACATACCTCTTCCCTGTCTCTTGTGTTGGGGAGCAACTATTTATTAAAAGGATGCATTAAACCTTAAGCACCAGTGGTCCTAGCATTCCTGCAAGTTGTTCTGTGCTGCTTTCAAGGTTATCAAGTCCTCCTTTAGTGTAGACATAAATATTTCCATTTTCACAAGTCATGCAGTCACCAATATGTTTTCTAGATCTGGGCAAGCTTCCGAAGGAAAGGGATCGTATACCTATGTGCTAGTATAGTGTTAGTTGCAGGTTTTCTTCTGCCTGCCCTTTGGAAGTCTGAAGGGATGATAAAGGATTTATATTGTGGTATCTGGTATCTGTTTTGAAATCCTCCTTATTGCCAGATCTAGCAGTTGTTTCAAAGACAGGAGCATGAATGGAAGGGAAAGATCATTTGCATAGCAACCATCCTACATAACAAATGATCAAGCATTACAACAGTTATAACTAATAGGGGTGCACCGATAAAGATTTTTGGCCTGATACTGCCAATTATTAATGAGCTATATTGGCCAATACTGATCTGATTGCTGATATGCAGCCCAGCAGCTTGGAGAGCAGCGTCCATCTGGTAAGTCTGTTGGGGGTAGGGGCGGAGGGAGGGAGGGAAGGGTTGTGGGGGGCACAGATTAAG